GCCCGGACAAAAAAAAAAAAAAAAAGAAAAAAAAAAAAAAAAAAAAAGAAAAGGGAAAAGATATAAACACATTTGAAGTGGATACAGGAAAATTTTATAGTTAAGTTTCGAGAAAATGATTCTGCTTGGCACAGTGGACATCAATGTTATCTAGTCTATTTGCATTTATTTGACAAAAAATTATTCAGGAATTAAGCGTATATGACATATTATAATTGTCTTAGCAGTTTATACTTTTTTTTTCTTTTCCAGCCAGTCCAGCAGTTTATACTTAAATAAAAGACTGTAGAAGACGTTTTCAGATTCTTACAGCTGTGTAGAAGTTAAGCATTCTTTTTTGACCAGATTTTTTAGTTCTATGTTTTGGTTCTTTTAAGCCATATCACACAATGACAAAAAGAACATTAGCAGATTGTCTGCCAAGTACAGGCTATTTATTAAGTGATGTTGCATGTTACAGCAAGTAGATTCTTCGGGTGCTCCCATTTTTAAAATTATTTGCTAACCAATGAAACCTGTAGATCCAACCCATTACCAACTCGTGATCTCATGAAACCCTAACAGGTAAGTTACTATCATTCCCAATTATAGAAAGTGGGGATTTATGTAAGTACAGATTTCAAAGCAAATAAACTATATCTCGTTATTTCAATGATGCTCATTCTAGATTAAATAATGCATTGTTTCTAACATGTTTGTAAGAAGTGTTACACTTGACTCTGAGAGAGTTACAGTGTTACAGAGTTCATCAACAACTTGGCCTAGAACCAAAAGGTTAGAGAATTACTCAATTCTGGTCATTTTGCATGGTCAGTTACCAATATTTCTCCTCTCGTCTTTGGTAATAATTCAGTTCATTTAACAAGCATTTATTAGGCTCCTACAGTATGCCAGGCTCCATGCTAGGCACTGAGGATACAATAAATGAAAAAAAGTCTCTGTTATCCAAATGGAGATAGATTATGAGAAAGGAAAAAATAAATAAATACAGATTAGGAAAAGTCTATGAAGAAAATTCAATCATATGTTAGAGGGAAACTGTGGAGGCCTTAATCAGATTTGGTGGTTGTGTCAGGGTGCAACCTTTTGAAAAAAAGGCAGAAAACTAAGTATTTCAGTAAGGAGACATT